TATTTGCAAAAAAATCAAATAATATTAAGTAATATCAGATAAGAATACATATCAATTTCGCTCATCTCTATTGATCGCATAATTGGAAGGTTTATCTGATTTTTCTATTATCTCTAAAATTTCTTGTTATACTTGATTTGTTTTGGTCAGCGGAGTTGTAATATTTCATTAAATATATAAGTAAAAAAAAATTTTTTAGAAGCTTTTTACTCTTGAACGTGTCAATATGAACGAAATTTGCAAAACTGTTACCTCTCAAAAAGGAAAAGTAAAACTAAATGTTCACGGTTTCTTGTTAGTTAAAGAACGCTCTGTGGAAAATACTTATTACTGGAGCTGTGAGAAAAAAAGATCTGAAAACTGTCCAGGCCGTGCAGTAACTATCTTTTCTAATGGTTCACATTTTCTTAAAAAAACTACCAAGCACGAACACTCCCCTCAAGCAAGTAGTAGTGAAGTGGCTGTAATAGTTGAACGTATTAAACGACAAGCAAGAGAAACTCATGACTCACCTGCTCAGATTATCCAAAATAATATTGCTTCTGTTGATATAAATTTGGTATCTAATATGCCTTCAAAGGATGCACTTCGTATGAGAATAAAGCGCATTAGAAGTTCTGAAATGCCCCCACAACCTCAAACTCTTGACGAAGTCGATGTACCACTTCCATTTCAATATACTTTAAAGGGAGAATTGTTTCTTATTAGAGATTCACAAGTTGGACTAGGTCGGGTTCTTATATTTACAACTAAAACTAACGTACAACGTTTGTCTCAAGCATCTTTTTGGGTGATGGACGGAACATTTCGAACTGTCCCTACAGTGTTTCGCCAGCTTTACACTATCCACGCTCCTGTTGGTCCAAGTGAAAACTCTCAGATCTTTCCACTCGTTTATGCTCTTATGAGCACTAAATCAGAAGAGCTCTATACGCAGTTGTTTCAAGATCTAAACGACTTTGCGGCAGAAAATGAATTTATATTAAGACCGTTAAAGATTATCACTGATTTTGAGATTGCAGCCATTAATGCATCTCATGATGCATTTCCAGGTGTAACAAACAAAGGCTGCTTTTTTCACTTTGCACAAAGTGGTTGGAGAAAGGTACAAGAGTCAGGCTTATCTGTTCAATATGGTACTGATAATCATTTAAATTTGAAAATACGCCAATTATTTGCTTTGGCATTTCTACCACCAGCCGACATTCCTGCTGCATTTGACATATTAAAGGTAGAAATACCCCCTGAAGCAAGAAATATTATTCAATGGTTTGAGGAGTATTATGTTTATGGAAGAGTACGTCGAATATATCGAAATGGCAATGTGTCACGAAGTGCACCTTTATTCTCTCCAACATTGTGGTCTGTGTTTGATTCAGTTGAAGCTGGCATCCCAAGAACACAGAACAAGGTTGAAGCATGGCATCGACGTTGGGATTCTTTAGTTGGTCGTGCACATGTTGGAGTCTACACAATAATTAAAGAATTTCAGAAAGAACAACATAATGTTGATAA